CTCCTTAGGATCCTATTTTTTTTATGCCAAGAAAGGTACCGTATTTTTCCGTGTATAAGACGCTACTTTTTCATATAAATCTTTACCTAAAAATAGAGGTGCGTCTTATACAAGGGGGGCCGCGGTTTTGAAAGTGCTGATACCACTGTAAACTAGCCTCAGGGATTGCAGAGACAAGATAACAGTTCTCCTCCAATCATAAATCTTTTGAACCTGAGGTCAGCTGTTGCTGGGGAGATCGTGTAGGCAGTGCCCAGAGCGGTAATGTCGGAGCATTCTGTGACCATAAAAATGTTAGAAAGTGAAAAACAACCTGTAAACTCTCTAAACTCATGGTATGGTGTCAAACAAGAGGTGATTGTGAAGTCCTTCAAGAAATGTGGAATCAGCAATGCCATGGACGGAACTGAGGATGATCTTGTATATATAGACAGTGACTCAGCAGACAGCAATGATGCAGCAGAAGTTGAAGAAACTGATATGTTTGAAGCTAAAAGTGATGAAGAAACCAGTGATGCAACAGAGGCTGAATAAAGTGATTGGCTCAGAGGTAAGTGTGATGCATAATATCATTTAAAATATTGATTTCTGAATTTTGGGTAAGAAAAGTTGGGGGCGTCTTATAGACGGAAAAATACGGTATTCTACTCTGAATGGATGGAAGTGGCTGGTTGATGGCATCTTCCTGGTTTATAACATCACTTTTGCACAAGGTAGACCCCACATTTTTGACCATGTATGGGGACCCTGACTCTCCTACACCCATATAATTCCACTTTTACCCTAATTCAAGAATTCACTGATACTGAGATGATCTTCCCTATATTATGCTTTCCCTTCTTCCTCTTATGACATTATGCTAGGTGTACTTGTAGACTGATGTATTTTACACTGATGTGGTGTTAGAAGTTTTGTCGTTATTCTTCTTGATAGTTTTGTTTTATTGTATTGTCTTGTTCCCTTACATTAAAAAAATAAATAATTTTGTCAATGGCCTGGCGAAGGAGCGGGTAAATAAGTTAGTGTCTACATTGGATAGCAAAGATTATAAGTGGCCACAGATTAAAAATACAGAGGGCCTGAGCTGATGAAATTAGAGGCCTGCTACTGTTTCCTGGTATATACAGTAGGTGCCAGAAAGGGCCATCCAAGAAGCCTTGAGAGAAGCCAGACTTACTCTTTATCAGATTAAAGGAGGAATATTGTGGGGAGAGATCAAATTTGGTCACTGCACAAACCTGTGCATATTGATGGTCTTTTAGGGAGATGGAATTTCAGCTGGGTGGGAATTTGTTGGGAGCACCATCATGGAAGTCATTTAAGTGGGAAATGATAGTTTGTTTGCTTGACAGAGACCCATTGTTTGGTGAACTTATAACTGCACCCATGGGATTTTTGGAAGGTTATAGATGTGGTGTTTGATCCTTGATGGTTTCATGCAAATTTTAGACACTAATTACCTGATTTGAGGAAAGAAGGGATGTACACGGGAAATGAGCGAAGCTAGTAGAAGAATTGACGTCTTAATTATATTGCATCAGCCAAACCAAGAGAAGAGTCTGCTGTAACTCATTCATCTTTAAAGTTATCTTGTAGTGTATGTAAAAGTTGTCTATACAACCGTTACAACTGTAATGGTCCGGACTTTTGAAAATTGATCCTTAGTTCCCCATGGATCTCAAATTGTTTGGGAAGAGATATTTCTGGTTTGATTTGTCAGATGTGTCCAAAGCTGCGGGCGGGGAGGGGCCAGTCAAATGTGCTGCACACTGAAGAGAGGGAGGAGCAGCCAATGCCACTACGTGCAGGAGGCAATGATTATTGGACGCTGACGAAGACGGAGGGTCGGGCGAAGTGTGCGGACCAAGTGTCTGTGCGGGTAGAGGCGGCCACCTACGCTACGAGCGGGAGTAAGGTAATTGGCCGCTTCAGACAGGATGGGAGAGACTGTGTCGGATGCTTTAGCGTCTGACACATTCGGGCACACGGAGCGTGGGACAGGGAGTTGACTCGCGATCTACCAGCGACAGATTTGCGATCGACCTTATGGGCACCCCTGATCTAAAAGGTTTGCAATCTTTAGGGTGATCTACCTTGTACCTTGAGCTGTGTTGTAGGGGATGCAAGTCAAAATTTGTTGGTTCTTGAGGGCCTTGGCTAAAATCTGACAATTATTGCCATGTTTGTAGTATAAGTTACAACACTGAGTATGAGCAGCTTTTGCTTTAAATTAATTTAATATCGTATGGGGAAGAGTTCATAAAATGCAGACACAGCCTAGATTAACACTGCAGTGTCCAGTGGGGGAGCAGACACCATAGTAAATATATCAGTACACCCCAAAGTCGCCCAAGTATGATATGTATATATTCTTATATTCCATAAAGATTAACTGGAGATAAACAGAGTTGCATAAAAATTTTGATCCTCTTGCGCAAGTACTTAAATCAAATCTGAGGTATCACTAATGAAAAAAGGTGCTTCTGATCCATCTATACAAAACAAAACCTAAAATATAGTTAAAGCCCAGCTCTGGTCAAAAGTGAAATGCCAAGTGTGCATTAGCACCAATGTACCTTTTACCTCTGCATTTTGCAAAAGAATAGCTCCGACTCATCCAGCAATATCCTCAAAAACTAGGGATGCACTAAAATGTAATTTCGGCCGCTGAAAAATATTGGCCGAAAATGGCACTCTAGGCAAAATACAGAAAGTACCATCTTTTGGCTGAAATTGTGGTGCATCCATGGTTTCTATCCTCCTCGCTGCTCTGTGCAGCAGGAAAGAGAGAAACATTCAGGTGGCTGAACAGGGAGGAGAGCCTCCTGTGACAGATCAGGAGAGTGTGTGGGGGGGGTGGGGAGGGCAAAGACAGCTGTCCATTGTCAGAGCCAGGGTGTGGGGGAGGAGACAGCTCTCACAGGAGACCAAGCTCTCCTCCCCATCGCTGATGGTTTGTAAATCATTAAGGACATAGTATGTTTACTGTGTCCCCAATTATAAATGAACAGGAAGTACTCTACATCACTTCCTGTTCATTCAGGATTGTGGATAGAGTAAACATACTATCTCCTCAAGTAATGAATGAACAGGGGCACGCCGTATAGAGGTTTCCTGTTCATTCACAACAGGGGTGAAGAAAAAGATTTTGCACTGTGTGTTCAATCACTTTTTCTATTTTAAAAGGGAAATATCAGGGGCCTGTTCTGCCTCCTAACTTTTGATTTTTTCTCTAGTCTAGGAGCTCGAAAAGTATCTGTACTTGGTATCAGTGAAATATATATTATATATAGAGCCAGATTATTATGACCACCTGACGTTTGTAGGCAAATTAGCTAAAATTTTGTGCTGAAGTTGCTAGAGGGCCAGACCATTATAAATAGGGAAGCAGGTTGTTTACCACGACAGTAGAAGTGAATTTTTTTCTGAAGATATGGGTAAACAACGCAATTTAACAGCCTTTGAACGTGGGATGATTGTTGGCGCTCGGAGCCATGGAGCGAGTATCAGCAAAACAGCAGAATTCGTTAAATGTTCAAGAGCAGCTGTTGTTAAAGTGTTTAAAGACTGGACTGTCAGCCGAAAATCTGGGTCTGAACGTGCGAATTGTGGCCGTCAGCGACTAGTCAATGTTAGGGCAGAACGGAGAGTGGCAAGACTGGTACAAGACAACAGAAGGGCAACAGTGCATCAAATTACTGCAGATCTTAATCAGGGATCCTCTCAAATGATCTCTGAACGCACGGTTCGCCATACACTGCATCGTATGGGATATGGAAGCCGAAGGCCTGTTCGAACACCTTTGCTGTCTGCAGTTAACAAGATAAAACGTCTCCAATTCGCACAGGAACACAAGGATTGGACAGTCGAGCATTGGAAAAAAGTAATGTGGTCCGATGAATCACGTTTCCAGTTGCATCATGCAGATGGCAGAGTGAGAATTTGGCGGAAACAGCATAAAAGCATTCACCCCACATGCATGAGTACAACCCTTCAAGCTGGTGGGGCAGTGTTATGGTTTGGGGCATGTTTTCCTGGCATGATTTGGGCCCTTTAATTCGTGTGGAACAACGTCTGAATAGCACAACATGCCAAAGCATCGTTGCTGAGCAAGTTCATCCTATCACCTTGATGGCGTATCCCAATGTAGATGGCTTCTTCCAACAAGACCATGCGCCATGCCACGGTGCTCGTATTGTGCAGGAGTGGTTTTAAGAACATGAGGGAGACTTGCTTAGGTGGCCCCCACAAATCACCAGATCTCAATCCAATTGAGCATTTGTGGGACGAAGTTGAAAGAGCCATCAGGCAGCTGGTTCCACAACCATCAAATCTCACAGAACTGGACAGTGCTATTCATCAGGCATGGTGTCAGATTCCTCGCATCACCTTTCAACATCTCGTGGAGTCAATGCCAAGAAGAATTGCCGAAGTATTGAAGGCAAAAGGTGGCCCAACGAAGTACTGATGGGGTGGTCATAATCTGATACACACACACACTAAAATGGTTAGACATTTTTTTTCCCTTTCATTTTCAAAATTTCTTTTTGGTGCACCTCTAATAAAGAACTCTTTCCTGGTACTTTTCATGAATAATATTTCCTGTCCCAAGGCCTGAACCTGGTTTCTATTCTATGACTGAAGGAGAAGAGATGTCACATACCCTCCTCCAATCACAGGACACCTATTATGTGAGGAAAATACAATGCGTTTTTTGAATAGGCAATTACTGAGGACTCGTGGGGATTATGACTGAAGCACTTCATTGCTCAAGTTGTACCTCTCACTACCTGCAACACCTGGAAGAACAGTGTGATTGTGTAGGTGGCATGCTGCAAGTTAAGATTTCAGACTTTTCAGCAGTCCTCCAAATAGAACATACATCTTTTTATTGATAATTTACACACCCAATGCAGTGTCTAAATTACATAGTGTACACATCACTTAACAAAAAGCTCCAGCACAGATTTTTAAGATCTTTTTATTAAAAGAAGAGTTATCTTTCCACAGCACATACAGTATAAAAAAAATAAAAATCACCAACCATAATTACATCAGATTCAACAACCATCATTTGCTAGATTTCAGAATTTACTTTTCCATTGTAAAGTAGAAGGAATCTTCTGAAGATGCAGCAGAAATTGATAAATAACACTGAAGGAAGGTCATGTATTAGTAAGGATTGTGCGGAAAAAAAGAATTAAAATTGTGCATACAGTAAAGACATTTGTGCCAGAAGCAGCACGTTCAGTGCTGCATTGGTAATATAATATAGCGCAATTGGTCCCGACGGCATTCGGCCTCTATATTAATCCCAGGGATGCCAAAACCCCCGCAGTTCATTAACCAGTTTGGAGATAAACTGCAAAACCCATCCAGGAACACATTCACACAAGGTTTACTCCTAAAAGGCTGCATTTTGCCAGTTAAAAAACACACAAAAACACAACTTTTCCCTTTTGTTTCCCAGAACAATTGAAGCAAAATAAAAAATTACAATCATTAAATACTGAATGGCATGACGTACTTCAGATGAATGTTGAAGCATTATTGCTCATCTGCCAGTCAGGAGGCCTCCACCCTCCTCCCACTTTAAGTTAACCCTACATGCTCTGCTCCCTTGACAATTAGTTCTTGGTCTGTTCAGTATGATGTGAATCTGCTTGTAGGCCCAAGGGAAGGAAGCACTCAATAGGACATTTTACATTCTGGAAAAGAAAAACAGGAGGAAACATTAGAAATCTTGCAGCCTATTGCTTGGGCACTAAAGTTTTTATAGGCTTAAAGTACACCCATGCTACAATGAGTCTTATTTATCAACATGTTTGTTGTGCCCCAAAGCAAACAAATTAAAAGGTCCATATGCCAATTAATTATTCTCTTTCAATCTAAATTTTGAATTGGATTTACAGGTGAAACTCGATTAGAATATCGTGCAAAGTTCATTTATTTCACTAATGCAACTTAAAAGGTGAAACTAATATATGAGATAGACTCATTACATGCAAAGCAAGATAATTCAAGCCGTGATTTGTCATAATTGTGATGATTATGGCTTACAGCTCATGAAAACCCCAAATCCACAACCTCAAAAAAGTAGATTATTACATGCAATCAATAAAACAAGGACTGTACATAGAACAATATCGGACCTCTGACCTCTGAAAAGTACAAGCATGCATATGTACTCAGTACTTGGTTTGGGCCCCTTTTGCAGAAGTTACTGCAATTACTTTTGCACGATATTCTAATTATTCGAGTTTCACCTGTAGTGTCATAGGGCAATATAGACAATTCCTATGTAACACACATAAGATCTATGTGTCAATAAGTTCTAGTATCTCTGGAATCTTTCCATTTAAAAATTCAGGTTCAGCGATAATGTTCTGCTTAGGTTTCTTTTTGCATAGAACATGCTAAGACCTGGTCTAACAAAAGGACCGCCTTCCAAAAATAGGATTTTTATTTGCCATAGATTCCTTTTCTTGGCGTACTTCAGGTACATAGGGTTATGCTGCTGCCGCCTTCAGGAGAATGGGCACTGGCAAACAAAGCTGCAAGGACAGCCTCGTATAACTCCACACCATGCTCAGGTTTTCTAGAAAAACAATAGTATGAGTGGATCATAAGAACGGAGGGGAAGGACCTGTGCAGGACCTTAAACTGAAAGAAAAGGATTTTACACTACCTATAACAAAAAGGGACACAAGGTGAGTAATTCAGGTACATAGGAGACACCCAAGCAGTTCAACTGAGGGGTGGGCAACACAACACTAACAGGGCCACATTACCAGGTTAACAAGAGAGGCTCAATGGAGCGAACTGTAGAACATTATGACTGAAGCTGGCATCAGATGAAGCATGAACATCGACCTGGTAAAACTTGACAAATATGTGAACAGAGTTGATTGCAACGAGGAAGGCAAACTTGTGATTGAGAGTAGACAGGGTAATTTCCCTGTTTCAAAGTGTGGTTTCTGGAGAACCTCAAAACCAAGTTGAGATGCCACAGAATTACAGGGGAACGTACAGGGAGAACAATGTGAGTGGCACCCTGTCCAAAGGCTTTCACTAAGTGGTGATGGACAAAAACGCAAAAAAAAATAAAAAAGGGAATCTAATCTCTAGGACTGAGATTTGACCCTTGATACTCTAGGCCAAAATGTTGAGCCACACCAGATGGGAAAAGGCAGGATTCATCACAGTTTTACTTGGATAGAAATTCCTTGCCTCACACAATGATAAATGCACTTTCCAGGTGTGATGGTAGACTTTGTGAGAAGATGATTTCCTAACTTTCAGCGCAGCATAGGGATAACTGAATCAGGCAGGACTATAGCCTTTATGGGTCTGGGCTGCAACAGTCAGACTGTTAAAGCTTAAGAAGCAAGGTGGTAAACCAGTCCTTGGGAAAAAATAAGATCCCAGTGTTTTGGAAGGGCCCACAGAGTCTGCCAAGAGTTTAACGAGGTCTGCGTAGCATGCATGTCTGGGCTAGTTTGGAGCAATCACATTTACCGGAATGCCCGCTCAACCCCCCCCCTCCTCCTCCCCATTGTTAGCTGTTGCTCTGTGACAATACGCTTCATTCTACCCTCCTCTTCTGACTGATTAAAATTTTTCTCCAACTGACTTCCTTGCATTGCTGTACCCCTTTGCCAATATCAACCCAGCCCTCTCCATCAGACAGGTCCTGAAAAGTGAAAAAGAAATATCCTGCTCTAGTCTCTCACATCATTCACCCTGCATCTAGTACAGAAATACTAAAATGACAAAACAAGTCTAGAACACTTACAAAGTTTGCCTGAAATCTCTGAGTGTACTGGGAAACTGTGTGTCCGGTGGCATCTGGAGTAACAGCAGATCCTGGCCTTCGGCAGTTATCACAGCGCCAACCCTGTCAGAACAAAGAGCATTAACATGTAGCAGTTATTTTCACAACTGTGGGTTATTGTTAACACAACAACATTTCAGTGAATGATCAATGAGGAGAAGCCTAGATCGCGGTAACACTGGTCCACAAATCTGGGCAGTTCCTACATATATATCTTTCATGTCCATGCAGCAATGCTCCACTTGGAAAGCCAAAGTCAACCCATAGTGGTTTTATCTTCATCAGTACCTTGTTCTGGGTTGCACAGCCTCAAGGAGAACTACTTTGCATACACTGTTAACTCTAGGAAGAATCACTGCTGAGGTTGTATACTGCCTTAGGATGACAGTTTTATAAAACATTTACCATTTTTTATACAAATTTTGAAAATATTGATGCACTGCCTCACTGCTCGTCAATTCAAACAGGACTGTGGTCTGACACAACCTTTTTTTAAATGTTGTATGTGGCAGAATTTTGAGACTCCAATAAAGACTGACTTCTAGCAGTAAGGTATGGCCACATATGGCTTCCGTAATATTACTATAGCTTTGGGCAATAAGTTGTAGTTCTGGTGACAAAGCAGTGTTGTGGCACTTTAACTGTTGCCATGAAAGTGAAAGGAACTTACCATACCAACATACAGATGCACAATAAACATGACATAACTCAACACCAATACATTATGGCTACATTTACAGTTGTGCTTTAAACTGGATTATATTCACAGAAAGGCATTCATTAGTACAGGAATGTTCACTACTTCTAAAGTCAGACAGTAGCCCATGGTACAGCTACTCTGTTTTACTTTTGTAAAAGGTGAGAATCTTGCTAGTGAAATAGTGAATGGGAGGACATGGTCTAGGAGACTGGTGGTCTCCCAACTTAGAAAAGGAGTGTATTTTACAGATTTTGGAATGTAGAATTTTTTTTCTTAAAATGTTGGACATGTGATTTGCAGTTTAGATTACAAACACCCAATGAAGTTCCAACTGGCCTATTGTGTATAGACTGTTTTGCCTGCCAACTTATCAAAAAATATGTCCTGTACTTTACTAGGTAGATATTAGCTCACCTGTTGTCCCCCATAGCATGTGCATGAACAGATGGCTCCCAGGTACTCCTTCTGCCATTGCTCCCCAACATTGTACAGTTTTCCTTCATCATAGCATGTAGCCTCATCTGGAAAAGGAAGACAAGGAAACTGAATAGAAATACCTCATACAAGACAGCATCTACTCGTCCCAATTGTAGATTTCCACAGCAGACCTAGGAGCCACACTGTACTTACGTGGTTCACACTTGAACTCTCCCTTTCCATTTCCAAGACAAGTGCAGCTCATCATCTGCCCATTCTCTCCCTGGCGATCCCACTTCTCACCAATTCTATGGTTAACTCCACTGTCATGGCACCATTCTGCAAGAATCAATGATAAGTTAGATCACAACACAATTGCACTAACTAGAAATCGTTAATTTTCATCAACTTTAAAACCACTAGTGTAAATAATAGCCTAATTTTTAAAAGGTAATTGTTTGTTCCACTACAGCATCCTTTTAAATTGCAGCCCAATAACCGAAATGTCCATCATGAAAAGAAATGCAAATTAACAACTTACATGTAATTTCTTTTACCAAGACAACTATTTTAGCATTACATACTGAGAAGAGGAAGGTTTGTACTCACTCGATGAGTCACATTTAAAGTGCCCACTGCCATATCCTAGACACTTGCACCAAAGTTTAAATCCAGACTCTGACATACGCTCCCATTCCTGTCCAACTGTATAATGTGCTCCAGTGAAGGTGTCATAACAGGTGTCCTCAACTGGCTGTAGAGCCCCGTCAGGAAGGACTATGGAAAAAGTAATTAATTAGGAAAACATTTCTCATCTTGTTAGATTAGTAGAGCTTTGTCTCACACTGTCTGCGTCCAAGTGCGAGCACCCAGACCCACACTGATGTGCAGGATCGGGTGTGCGTGTGGCCGCTTGTAATTGTACGCCTGTCTGAAAGAGCTCTGCCAGTGCACCCAGCAGCACAAAAATATGCAAATATTAATTTAGACTAGACCCTGCCCTCTCCTACACCTCACATTGGTCATTGAGACTTCCCATCACATTGAATTAACCAATAATGACACTTAGGAGGTAGGGAAGAGTGTGAGCTTCTTACATGAAAAACAGGAAGAGCCCGTAGCACAAACCTTAAATTAAGAAGCCGATAATGCACGTGTTAAAGATGGACAGAACACTAGATATTTAAACAAAGACAGAAGAGACAGTCCTCCTGCTAATGGCACCACTATGCTGAAAGTGAATTGCAATATAGCTCTAAGCTCTCAAACACAAAATGGATTTTATAGACAAAACCATAAAGAAAGCCACTTATCTGACACTACACAAAGTGGATATATGTAGATGGGATACGGATTACCAATCACCCACATATTTAGATGAAGTGTAAATACAAACATACCAATAACTAAACTCACAAAATCTGATAAAGATTAAACAAATAAAATAAATCTATAAAAAACAAACACAACTATGTGGTAACCTTTTTATCCCATAGTTCTCTTTAGGGTCATGGGGGACATATTCCAACATCCTCCTGTGACCCAAAGCTCCACAGCCAGGGCGGATCCCGACACTACTGTCGAGATCCACCTAGTAGGCTGATTGACAGAAGGCTCTGCCTATCTGAAGGCAAAGTCAGCTGTGCCCCCCCCCCCACTCCCATTTCTCCAGTCAGAGCTGGGAGGGGGGAATCCCTGCGGGGAGCGGTGACTGACCGCCACCGCTCTCTGCAGGGAGATGATCGGGAAGTGAGCGAGCAGGGGTATGTGTTCGCTTACTTCCCGATCTATAGAGCCGACTTGTGACAGTTTCAATGTCGCACAACAGCTCGAGGAGGAGTGTAAATCACTCACCTCATTAGTTCTCCTTTAAGTTTCCCTGTATTGTTTTTAATATGACCTGTGTTTGGAGACCATTTACTGATAGTTTGGCTTCACTAGAATTCACTTTTAGTGTAATGGGGCAGTTTAGAGAGGAATGTTCTTTTCTTTTACATGTTTTCACACTTAGAAGACTTTTGGTTTCAGGGTGCCTGGAGAATGCTTGAAGATACTTGTGCAAGAATTAAAGAGGCTTCAAAAATAACATACCAGGGGCAGTTTACCATTCTTAAAATGTTTACACGTTTGCTTTAAAAAGAAGTGGTCAGGAGAGAATGATATACAGACTATGCTCTTACCAGTATTGCTGACTGTGACCAGTTCCTCTAGGATCTTGTGTCTATTAATTCCTTTCAAGGCCTCCACAATGATATTGTATGTGGCTCCACGGGTAAGGCCATTAAGAGTAGCACTGGTAGAGGTGCCAGGGACCCTAAACTGTGAAAATGACATAAAACACTAAAGTTACCTTTAAGAATTTAGAAAATGATCAGATCATTTAAAAATAAGACATTTATATTAGAGCTGTAGCTAACGATTATTTTCCAAATCGATTAGTTAGCCGATTATTATATATAGTGGGAAGTTATATTTAAAATAAAAGTACATCTCCTCCCCCATTAGAACAATTTATAGTATGCCATTGTTGGCCTCCTGAAAATGCTGGTTGGCTGACTGTGTATGGCTTCAATACTTCAAAGTTAGACCCAAAACCGACAGTCTACAGAAAATAATAAAGTCAGGATTCTTTATTCAAAATACTTGTACTGGGTCAGTGACGCAAAGCATGGAAGCCAAATCATCAAGCGACAATTTCAGAGGAAGACAATGGCAGCTCTCACAAATTACAGGTTTCCATTAACTTCCTGTCCAGTCATTCCAGAGAAAACTTCCAATTGCAAGCTTTTTTTGGCTCTTTACATTCATTTATATGCAAAACAACCATAATTGTAGATAAAAAAAAGTGACTAAATGTTTTACTACCTAATCAAGTGAAATACATAGAATAAGGATTGTAAGCTTACCTCAAGAGGGGCTTCCTCATGACCCACAGGATGGCACGAGATGATGTATTCGGTGGTCTCCAAAAGGGGCCTCCATGAAATGGTAGTTTGAGATGCCACTTCTTGTATACCAGTATCATTGATTTGTGGCCCAAAGCCATGGGTATAAGGCCCGTCGAAATCTCCTTTGGGCTCATGATCATAGATGGGCTCATGAAAACTGGTATCCACTGTAACAACATGACCGGGAGTAAATTGCCCAGGCTTCACAGGTGCAGCAGTTGTGGGCAAAACGGGGCTTCTAAAGTATTCTTCAACAAATTGTCCTTCATGGCCAGTGCTTTGCTGTCCAATAGAGCCTGGAAGTTTAATACCATTACCATTCTCAAATGTTGTCTCAGTGATGAAAGGCGTTTTCTCTATTTCCGAGGGAACATCAAGGATTTCAGGGCCAGGGATGGGGTGAGGGAATGTTACCAGTTGGGGAATCTCATCTGGCCAAAGAAAGTATTAGGAGCAATAAAAGCAAAGCGTTAATTAAAGCAGGCAGAAGCAATGGTCCTTGGCACCAGAACATGTTTTGTGGTCATGGTACACAAACAACAGTAGGTACTCTGTACTTTTAGTATATCCAGCCCTTTAAAGCCACATGCAAATGGTTTGACTTTTTTTTTTACAAAAAGTAACTGCAAAGTTACTGGAGCAAATGCATAGGGTCCTACTGCAAAAATGCATCAATACACATGCTAAGCCTTACACCCACAAATCTGAACACAGTGAGAAACACCAACAATTTAAAGTCTAGGTCCAGCCAGCTTTTTTCTAGTTAAGATCTACAATTTACATTTTTTTGAGCAGATACCTCCCCTTCCTGTCCCTTTGAAACCAGACAATGGCTCCATTCCTTTCACCCACTGGTCAAAAAAAAAAGTTTTGGCTGGAGTTGGGCATAAGGTGACACGGCAACAAAAATAAAGGCATTTTTACATGTGGCCAAAAAAGAAAGTTAAAACAGATTTCAAATTAAGAGCACACATTAAGGGGTCAGCACAGCACAAATGGCTATTTTAGAAATAGGCAGAATCATGTGGTCTGACTTCTTAGATTTCTTGGGGACCTCAGGGGCCATATCTTCCCCCATCATAGTTCCCAAACAGACTTTGGAATCACAATCCCCATGATGATTGGGTATTTTCAAATTCAGTGTATTATAAAAAAGCATGCTGAAATGCAATGGCAGGTGTGCAAACCTGTGAACTCAAGTACAGAGTTCTCAGCAATGAAATTCCATTTGGGTGGGCTGACCCTTTAAATGGGATTTGTTTAGTTTCGGGTGATCAGGGGGAAATGCATCTGTTATATCCAACACAATCCAGCTTCTATGCAGTTTCTCTATCAATATTCATTTCTCACTGCTGTGCCTGCCAGGGCAATGGGGGATTCTGTATGGCCAACTTTATCACTAGCAAGTTCAAGCAACATTAGCAGTGAGTCATGATCAATGACGGGACTCCACAAGACCCTACTCACCCAAAGCTAAAATAGTGGAGAACATACTTTTGTTTTTTTGTGATCAGAGCAAATATTCAGCCTATCCCTTCAACTAGGAAAAGGCACCTCTGAATGAAAGACATTGAGAAATAGATACATTTAAATTGTACCCACTGTTAAGACCTTTTAAAAATGCATCATTGCTTTAGGTCTATATTTTTTAACGTATTGATTTCATTTGATGATTGTCATTGTTAGAAATGCAGTATGCTTCACTGTGAGAGACAGACATTCAACATTGCAAAAATGCAATTTTTCTTTGTTAAAAAAATTTGAAGAAAAGCAGCAGGCACACCTTTCATGGAAGGAAACCTTTGTGCATGCAGAGCATACATGTTCATGATGCAAAGAAAAATTCTAGGGATTGTGCCAACTTTTGCATTCTTGAGGTCATACTGATTTTTTTTACATGACTATTCTGGTTGTAGGTCTCTCACATGGAAGAAATTTCAATTAGCATAATTTTCCTTTTAAATTAAATTGTTCACAATTAAATGACTGAACACCATCCAGATTTGCCAGTTTTATAAAAACTGAAAGCAATTGTGTGCTTTGATTTCCAAATCTTCCTAATACAGTTTTTATAATCCAGGCACTTTGGTGTCTGCATCTAAAAAGATGTTCAGTACATCAGACAAGGAATTAAATCACTGCACGCTACAGCATAGAGGATTCAACTGCAACACTGCACAGACAATGAAATGCAAAATTACTTTTTGTCAAGAGATGCAAGCCAGTTAAAAGTAGGTTTTCAAAACAGTGCATTAAAGAAGTAAATTGCCACAATACTAACACAGCCTTATTTGCACACATCCCTACATCACATGTAAAGAAATAAGTGTTGTTCAGATAACATTTAGTTCATAAAGTTTTAATACCTGTCTTCTTGCGACCAGTCAAAGGCTCACTCTTCTGGTTATTCCTCACAGCAATGACATAAATTACATATTCCACACCAGGCTCTAGGTCTGCAAAGTAATTAAATACATTATTAGTGTAGATTTTTAGTGCCTAACTGCATGCACTTTCTGTGCCAACTGCCCCCTCCCAGCGAGATCTTGGTTATGCAACTTTCTCTAAGCCACAAAGCCATTTGCTAGTATCTTTGCTGCAGGACCTGCACATAGGTGCTGCAATGCCATTCAACCCCATGTTGTTTTCTTACTCTTCCACCAGAGTGCACAATCTCAACAGGACAGAATGAAGATTACCGCACACGTGCAGAGCGGTGGGCAGAGAAGGAGGCTGCAAAGCCAAGATCTCAATGGATCTGAGGCAGAAGTAACTCCACTAAATGTGCATTTATACTTTAGAGCAGAATTTTTTTTTTTATTCATTTATAAAATCAGTAAAAGGAGGACCACACCAATCGCATATACAATGGGAAAATAATCACAAATAGCCTACATTTACAAAGCTTTAAAACACAAGGTTTGAGGGCTTTACTTTAGCCATATGGCTCATTTTTAGATCATGGACTCAGATGAAAACATTTTTTTTTTCTTATGAAAAGGTCCTTCTGCAAAAGGTGGAAACGGGTTTTCAGGTCTATGAAAATAGTACACTCTTCAAGAGCAGAGTAAGCACCTGGGAGCAATGCAGTATTCTTTGGACAAAAGAGACAATATTGCATGTACTGAACAGTGGTCAGGACACTCACTGGTTAAGGTAGCCTCAGTAGTCCCTGCTGGAAGGCGGGGCAGATGTTCCTTAGGTACTCCTCCTACCCGTTCATACTTAATGATGTAACCTGTGATGCGAGAGCGAGGAGGCTGCCAGGAGAAGAGCAGGGAGTTGGGTGTGCTGGTCAGGAATCGCAAGTTGGAAGGACTGTCAACAGCTAGTAAAAGATAAGAGCAACATTAAAATACCCAGTACTTTATGCTGAACACAAACAAAACAGCAGTAAACTATGGGAATACAGTTAATTTGTTATTTTACCTGTTGACACATCCAGTGTGACAGGGGAGCTGCGGGCATTGTCATTTAAAGTGTACAGAGAGATCTTGTATTCTGTTCCGGGCTGAAGACCTATAATAAGAGCATTAACAGTTAGGGAGACCCCAAAACAGACCCCACAAATAATGTGGTCACTATGGAGGCCTCTAGACAATGTCCTAATAAACAAGTCTTACCTGTGACAGTGAAGGTTCTCACATCTGGTTTAATCACTCTCTGAATGGGAGTCTGGCCACCAGCAGGAAGAGCCTCAATCAGGAAGCCAGTGATGGTCTCCGTCTTTGTGCGCCAGGTAATGGTGACAGTTGTTTCTGTAACATCTGTGACACGTGGACGGCGAGGGGGGCTAACATCTAGGAAAAATATTTTGATTTTTTTTTAAAATCAACTGGTTTCAAGAGCAGGGAAATATCCCACTTCTACCATTAAATAGGTGCAGACTAAATTCAAATGATGCCTACACAGGAAAAATTGGCTTGTGTTTTTTATAGATTAAAGAATATTAACACTGAAAGGGCCTATTTGGACTATGTTTTAAAGCATCTGTGTTAATCCAATGCATTATTGTACATTATCATTGTGTATTAAACCTGACAGCACACCTCAATGCAAGAAAAAAAAAAAAAAGAGAAAAGTCTGACCATTTAAAGCAGAGCTCTGCCCCACACAGCACATGTGTTCTGTTGCACTGCAGTGCAGGTGTGTTACCCGTTACTGTAATTCAAAATTACTGCCATTGCAACACAATGCTGCATTATGCTAATGCAGTAAAACATGTATTTTACAGCACATTATCTTTAAGCATAAATGTAAATGGGCCCAAAATAAGCAAACACATTCAAGAGGTCAATTACAAATGGAAGCAAATATTTGATGGCTATTTCTTTCCTACCCTTAAACAGTTGACCCATTATATTTTATCTTTTGGTTACTTACTTTCCAGTGTTGAGATGATGCCTTGTAGTGGTGGACTCATCAGACCATCCTTCACAGCATACACATTAACTTCATACTTGGTTGCAACCTGATCAAGAAAGCAAGAGTTTCGGAAAACTTACTAAGTGTACCAAGGAGTTGTAATTGCAGATGGATCAGTTATACCTTAACCGGATTGGGCTTTACTAAGCATGGTAAAACTAGAACGTTAAACTAAACTAGCAGTCACAGATCACCTTTTGTTAAAGTATCCTAGCTAGAATGTGGGGGGGACAGTAGACCCTCCAAAATGGTCCACTCTATAAAAATAAAAAAGGTACAAATGCTCCATTTTGGAAGAATGTTCGATTACCAAGCCTATATGAATAAATGAATGGCTTAAGTGTAACTTTGCTTCAGAATAGTGTAGCTGTATGCTTTTCTGTCCCTGTCAATTAAAACCTAAAAATATTTTCTTTATACATGCAAATCAAGCGTTTTCTTTAAAAACCAGAGTCATATGATCAGGAGCACCAACTAGGAGTTGACATGATTGAGCCTGTGAATTACAACATCTATTTCTACTGTAAACAGCCTGGTAACAAGTACTTAGTGCAGTTATTTCATGCTTTTACACTACCAGTGTGCCTGCTAAGCAGAAGAAAAAAAAATAGCCATTATAACTTTTCTGTGGCTCAGCAAATTCAGAAAGATAGGTCAGAAGTAACAGTTTTTCATGGAGTGGACATCATTGCCATCTGCATTATGCTCCATTAAGATGGAAATTATGATATAGAGGGCAACTACTACACATAATGCATTTGGGGTGGACATAATGCATTTGGGGTGGCTGTGACAAATACCATCAGGAAGTTTGGTATACGCTGGGTCAAAGGGACTGTAAAATACTAGGAGGTGTAGCATTACTGTGGCATTTAAAAAAACTGACTTCCATGGTCCTGGTGCATAAAGTGCATGTCTGTTCCATTTACAATAAAACACCATAGAATATGTTGTTATCCATGGCTATACATACTGGGATACGTTTCTGAAATTCACTGGAACTGAGGGAGCAGCTTAGAGGATTAACAAAATGGCTTCAACGTTACAGAGCAAGTCCATTGAAGTCATTTCCACTGATGTATTCTGCACATACTACCAAGTTTTACAAGTATAAGATTTCAAGCCATTACTCACCATTAGACCAGTAATAGTGGTTGCAGTCGTACCAGGCGACAGATCCATCTCTTTCATTGGTCCAGTTTTCTCCTTGGGGTTCACACGTACTCTGTATCCACTGAGCTGGAGATTAGGTGCATGCCAGCTGAGAGTAAGGCCCGTTGGATTCACTTGGGAAAACTGAAGATTTGTTGGGGCAGGAATGGCTGCAAAATGGATAGTATATGTGTAAAAAAAAAATTACAATATAATAATAATAACACAAAAAAGATTTTACAAGACAAAATACTCTACACACAACGTGAATGCATGCATAAAAAAATCCATAAATCCATAAAATAAAAGAATGCAGTGCAACTTCAAAGGTTGTCTTGTACAAGCATGAACATAAATAACCTTCAAAATTAAGTCTCTAGTAGTAAAAAGGGAACTTTTGAGTACCAAAAGCAATGCAGTTGATGCTAGGTAATATTCCACACATCTGATGGATAGGGTTATTTAATATGTGCAGGAATTTAACACACTACTCAAATAGGCCAGTGATGTTCTTAAGTCAACTTCCATTGGCATTCAGTTAAGACATTTTAAAAAGTTGCATGCTTGTTATGAAGCTTTAGATATAAGAAATTAATAACTACACAAAACAAAATATTCTAGAATGTTATCAGAACAGCAGTAATGTAAAATTAGGTTTAAAGTGATATTTTCAGTCAGCTGACTTGTTCAGTAATACCACTAAAATTGTCAGTTTGGTGACACTTTTTGCCAACCATTGCAGGTAGAACTATAGCACATGCATAGTAATAGTTACTAGCCGCTCTTAATGAAACTTTTTTGGGTTTAGTAATACTTAATGATGTATCAGGATGCAAGTGACAAATGGATAGATAAATAGAAAAGGTGAAAGACCACATCAGGCGTAGGTACAAGGATTGGAATTAAGGGTATACAGTTTGCTGGTGGATGGCACCTGCAGGGTAACAAAGGACGAACGGACACACAGAACCCGCCAAGTGCTCTGGATACCTGTATGCTGGATTCCAATCACAGGCTTGCTTTCCTTGTCATCGTGCAATGCCACGATGCTTACAGTGTACTCTGTGCCCGGCCTGAGACCGTGCAATTCAGCAGTGTCGTCATCTCCTTCTGGAGCTGGAAACAACTCTCTGACTCCATCCTCAGGGCTTGAGTAGGTCACTCGGTAACCTGTAACCTGTCCTTCTGGGATTTCCCAGGATAGTCTAATTGAATCAAGATTCACTTCTGGAAATGCCAGTCCCTTGGGTTGATCAATGTCTGTCAGGCAAATTAATTATAAAAGCAATTAACAGCAGAGACAAGCAGAAGCAGCAACAGGAAAGAAAAAAAGCTGCCAGAGTATTCTACCCTCCCCCGGCATTTGAAAGCTATATCAAGTGTTAAATTATAAAAGCCGCATTAGAAAGGTCTGTCCCTCCACAACAAAATATTTTTTGTAGATGTTGGTGAGCTGAATCACCCAATGGCTTTTTAGATTTCTTAGAGACTCCAAGAGGCATTTCAGTGTTTCCAACTCTAGATACCACTTCCCATTATGGAGTCGTTATAGCTGAAGCAGGAGAGTACAGTTGGGAAGGTGGGATCCAGAGCCCAGAATCTAAAAAGCAACATGTGATTCAAGCCCGCAATATATCATCAAAACCAAACATTTTAGTTTTGAGTGGACTGACCATTTAAACAAATACAATTCAGCCACCTTAACCCAGAGAATGGTACAGAACCATACCAAATTAATTTTTCATCAGTACAAGACATAATTGAGACATTAGCAGGCAGAATTCTTACATTGCTGGTAGCACAGCTGTGATTCAATCAGGTGTGAAGCAATGCAATGTAAATTTGCCAAGTATCCTAAAGATTAGAGGTTATAGCTGGAAAAATATTTGTGCAAGCGCTCATCATGTTTGCATATGCCAGCCATTGATGAACTACAACCTGATAAAAAGCTATAGGTCAACAAAAGAGGATGTGCTAAACTATGCACAAAACATTGATTAATTTTAAGCTCTGCAACCTTAACACCTATTGCAAAAGCTTAATATGCAAGAGTCAGTTTGATGCTGCAGGGATACTAAATACAATTAACGGCCATGTTTATCAAGCACACTAGCAATTAGTCTCTAAAAAGCAGTAGCACTATTCAGACCGTGGATTACAGAACTTTGTCCTAACTCCACTCCATGGCTGATGAGAGGTTTGTCTACTAAACCACATCATTGGTGTTAACAAATTTCATTTTTTTTTCAGTCAAGATCTCTTAATGCAGTGTACAAAAAAAAAAAAAGGGAATAGGATAAATCCAGTTTAAACAGAGAATACATACTTGTGACAGCTGTTTCAACTAGAGGCTCACTCTCTCCGCTAACACCCAGGGCATACACGCTCACCACATACTCAACAGTTGGTTGAAGCCCCACAATTGTCATTTCCGTTTTATCTGTGAAATAAGTTACTAAAAATGAAAGGCGCAATTCATTTTTGGAATATCAAAAGTTAATATTTTGGTTACAAGATATGACATTTGCAAATCTATTTTATTTTGAAAAAATAAAAATGTTTATATAGGAAGTACTTTTTTTGTTTTCTTTGTAAGAAGAGTTGACTTTACTCCTGGTGGCAAGTCTGTTGTATAGTTTTTAGGAAATCCCTCGTAGAGGACAGTTCTTTCCATTTGTCAGGATGGGAATATATTAACCCCTTCATGACTGAGGCCCTTTTTTCCATTTTTGCACCCATGTTATATTCCACATTTTAGGCCTAGTCCGACAAGGTACAAAAAAGGATTTGGAGACTGAACAGTAGTGTGTATATTAAAAAATGGTCCCCCTTCCCCTGTTATAAATGTCTTAAACATGAAAATGCAGCACATAGGTATGTAGGTGGGATTATCTAAAATACTCAACATAGAAAAAAAAACACAATTTTCTTATGAAGTAAAATGTAAATGGTCAGACTACCAGCATTTCAAAAAGGGATAAGTTAATATTTTTAACTTTAACTATCCATGTACAGTAACAACTGTTAAAGGGTATTTGAGAATAAACGTTTCAAGCATCCCTTTACAACACGCTCACAAACAAAATAGTTACCTGATGGTAAAACTTTGGAAATGGTTTCTCCATGACCACCTTTGGGTACACTAGTAACCCTATAACCAGTAACTGGGCTAGCAGATGGTGTCCATCTAACATGAATGCTTTGATCTTGGACATCAGTCACTTGCATCTCTGTTGGTTGATCAACAGCTGTAAAACATCAGTTATATTTAGAACTATTTTACCAGTAAAACCACATAATAAAACATTCACACAAAGTATTACTAGATTTCAATATGTTGCATCTTTACAAGATAGCTTGAAGTCCACTTGGTATACCTGTTGAATGAACAAAGGTAATTGGCTTGCTTGTGGCAGGACTGTCCCCTCGGCCAGTGACAGCATACACTGTAATAGTGTAGCTTACGCCTGGTTTCAAATCTCTGATAGTTGCAGTGTTGAAAGTGCCAGGCACTGTGAATTCCTGAGCTGGACCTTGGCCTCCTATGTGGATAATCAGAGATTTTCGTTAAGAACGCATAAAAATGGGAACCATCGGGCTCAGTGCAAAATATTTATTGAACATACCAGTCTCTGAGGAAGTAATCCTATAGTATCGTACATTGACTGCAGGTGCATCCCAAGCAATTGTAATTGTATTGGGAGAAGTAGATGTTGCTTGTAGATCAGTTGGAACATCAGACACTGCAATGAAAAAGAAATGCAGTAAAAAAAAAAAAAAAAAAAAAAAAAAAGGGAAAATAAGGGGATGTTTGTTCCATCTCAGCATTTCTGCCATCTGACTCCTCTGAAGCAGGCTGAGCATCCAAAATTATTCTGCTGAATTTTATGGCATAAATGATGGCCCTTCTCAATCGCTGTAGCAGGTGGGAGTAGTGGGGAAATTAAACCGAGATCTTGCAACCTGTGTAGCTGAAGAATCAACTAAGTCAGTGGGCAATTCCGGATTCCTACATCTGTCCAAATTGGTAGTATTTCTAAAAGGTGCCCATACACGTGGAAGGCGTGCGACCGTTTCTACTGTATGGTCGCACGTCTTTTGTCTCCCGTGCAGGCTTGAAAACCCACTGAGAATCGTACGATTGTCGGCGGGTTAGTGCCGTTCTCGGGAGACAAATGCGAACAGGCCGGTGTGCACAAGCGCACACTGCCCATGCGGCATTGGAGTCATTGGAAGCCCGCCCCTCAGGGGTGATCTTACGAGCTTTTAATTGGCTTACAACCATCGCAAGACTTGCGATGGTTGTAAAGTGTATGGCCAGCTTAAGTGGACTCACTCTGAAGGCAAATCATAAGTTTTGCCACTGATAAGGATTGGCACTGGCAGTTTTAAGAATTGAGCACCAAGTGTTGCACAATTGTTCTGCTGATAAGTAAATATTAAGCAGTGATTAGGCCAGATAATTCGTTTTGGGATGGGAAAGGGAGGTTGAATTAAGGCACAGTTTAGAAATGTAGTGTTCAGCATCTGACCAAAGGAAGATTAGGTGGGAGAAAAGAGCCTTCGTAAAAAAGAACACTTTTTTGTTTATGGACAAATGCCATTTCACTAGTCCTCACGCCAAAAAACAAGAGTACAAAAACATATCAAACATTTAACAGTGTTTTCAGGCAAACTACCTACCTGTAGCTTGTTGGCCTACAAGTGGCAAGCTCTCCTGGCCACTACTGACCGCAATAATACTGACAACATATTCAGAGCCTGGGATAAGGTTGGTAAGAGTGACAGAGTTTCGTGATGGAGGAATTTTCTCTTCTTTGGGACGCATATTACTATTTTCCAGCTGGTAGCGAACTTTATACCCAGTGATGGTAGCACGGGGGGCATTCCAGTGCACAGTAAAGGAGTTTGTGGTGATTTCAGAAAAGTCAATACCACTTGGTGAATCAAGTGCTATGGTGCAGGAAAAAAAAAAAAAAAGGAAAAAATTAGGGGAAAAAAACCCCACACACATACAAGACACAATATTACCATCTGCAATCAAAATAACTAAAGTTGCACACTACCTTTATAAAATATGGAAAGGAAAGTCAGACTAACTCAAGCATTTTGAACGCATCATCATGACTTTGTATACAAAGTAAATTCCTGTATATTACATAAGTAACGTCTTAGTGTAGAATGCGTTCTTTATCTCACAAGTCTGCTGGTTGAAATGCAGGAATCTACAGCTTGCGGGAACAAGACATGCAGCATTGAGCCAACATCTGTCCTTTCTACTACAAAATACCTCAGAATAAACCTGCTGGTATGGAACTCACAAGCCAAGCAAAGAGCTCAGAGCAGGTTTCAAAGAAAACAGGCAGCTGTTACCACATCAGAGGACATTCTTGGGCATTTGAGCACAGATCTGGGTACAATTTCAAATTCATAATTTCCACAAATTTAATACCCAGTGCTGCTATTTTTGGAACATGCCACTGCATATACACTGATCTAGGGTATGTATACACTATCTTTACGGTATACCACACATTGACTGTATCTTGCTACTTTGGGAATTAGGTCTCATCTCATAACAGCATGTACTTAAATTCCACAACACTGAAGCTGAACACAAAAAATAGGTCTCCTAGAATAGCCATTGCATATACTGTATGGAGAATTCACTTCAGCAAAAAAAGTTTATTCTTAAAATACATTTCCTCTTTTGCAGCCAAATTGGGTTAACATTTACCTTAATTTTTAAGTTGTGATATGTGAACAGAAACTTTGAAACTGAAATTTTCCTCTGCTATATATTAAGGGGCTTGGGAGTTGATGTTTACCATAATTAACCCTGTCTGTACTGGCAAATCTAGCAGTTATAAACTAGTTTTGAACACGGTTTGTCCTAAGAGTTAATCTCAAGGCTTGTGTTTTGCATTGTATGGTAATGAGGGAGAAGGGTTTGTTCCCACTTTGTCCCTACACTTTCACTTTGAAATTTTTCCAGAGTTGCTTGGAGACCACCC